AAAAGTAAATCAGAGCTAAAAAAGTGCAAAAACGCAGGCAAATTTGCCTGCGTTGGTCTACATATTAAGGGATAAGATTTAGGATATGCGCAATATATGTTATATGAAATAACTGAGGCATTACTGGTTTTAAAATATTATAAAAACATTTTTTCATATATGATGCTGAGTCAGAAACTAAAAGTCGTGGTGCATTAAATGGAATAGACCATTCAACTAAAGTTCTAAGAATAATTTGTCCTACCGTCACATTATTAACCTCATTAAGAAAATCTACTACAACTAATTTAGTTACATTTTGGTAATTAAACAAAATGTTGACTACACTTCTGGCACAATCATCCGTTGTTTCATCAGCAATAATTGCAACGGGTTTACCAACAAATTCTAATTTAACCATTGAAATATGTTTCTCATATACCGGCTTTAAATAATTCTGCCTTAAAGCCTCAGCCGAGAGAATAGAGCCACTATTAAAAAGATTATCCTTAAGCTATGGTCGTAACTTGTCAACCTTTTCTAACGGAATATTAGCACCAATGAATGCTTCGACCAAATCTAATATAGTATCCTTTTTTTTTTGTACTGCACTTATTGATGTATGCAGCGTTGGTTGCTTTAATCTTAATTCACGTCGTTCTTTTACAGCTTTATTATTAATATGTTTTGCACTGTTAATATGAGTTGTGATAGTTGATTTTACTTCATAATTAACAGGCATGTCACAAAACCGGCACATTAAAATTCCATGATCCACAAAAAAATGTTCGCGAAATTCATTCGCACGAGTTGTTACTGAAACTTGACGTGGCATTTAAGCAAGCTACTTAAAAAAAAAAAGTAGTTAAAGTATTATTATTCAACTATGTATAGCAGTTACAAAAAAAAAAAAAAAATTTAAATTATCAAATATAAATACCTTCACAATTAAAAAAGCCTAATTGTTCAAGGTTGGTACATTTAGCGAAAGGTAAGAAAAAAAAAAAAAAAAAAAAACTTATATGATAGTAAAAAAAAAAAAATAGTGTAGTATGAAGATCTCATACAATCTTTACTGCTGTACTGTGTTTGCTGGTTTATTGAACGATCTTTGTAAAGACTTTGATTTTGATTATCGTTATAGCAAAAAATTTGTATGCATGTGAAGTTACGAAACCAATATGCCAATTTGATTGGTGTAAAAATTAGTAATCAATCAAATTTGTCATACAACTTCACATGCATAAGAAAGGCGTAAAATTGTTTTAAATTGCGATATCCAATAAAAATTGTGAAAAAATGTTTTCTAATCTTTTTGAAATTTTCTAGGGTCCCTGATTTGTGGGTGATAACACGAAACTAGCCAATCAAACCATGCGATTTATATGTAATTTACAGATGATCAACACTAGGTATACTCTACTCTTAAATATCTACTTAAATATAACCAAACAGATCATAGCATTGATCCTGTAAGATTGAAAAGCTTTGATCAAATTTGGTAAATTTTTTATTTTAATTCTATATATTTATAGAATTAAAATAAAAGAATTTATTGAATTTCATTTAACAGATGTCGAGAATTCTTCGATAAAAGTTCACAAAAATCCTTGAATATCTTGAAAAAAAACTAAAATTTTTCTTTTTAAACTTTGATTTCTTGACACACATCTATCCAAAGTCGATGATTTTTTTTTTTTTTTTTAACCCTATGAATCTTTAGAATTAAATTAAAAGTTTTAAAAGGAAAATTTCACCCGATTTTGGCTTTTTTCCAAAGAATATTCGAGATTTTTTTTAAACTTTTACCGAAGATTTCTCGACAACCATTAAACCAAATTCAATAAACTTTTTTATTTTAATTCTCCGAGTGTATAGAATTAAATAAAATCATCGAATTTGATCAAGTAGTTCATTATCAAATCTTAAAAGGATCAGCCGTGATCTGATTAGTTATGTTTAAGTAGATATTCAACAACCAGGCACAGATTCAAAAATTGCCTATTTTAACCTGGCTAGCACTGTAAAGTTGCATGTTATTTACCCTACAAGTCATTTACCTGACATGACACTGGCATCCGATTTGCTGCAGATATGTATTGACATTTGTGTAATGTCAGACAATGACCTGTAAAGAAAACGACCGCTAGGATAACTGTGCTGAAGTATTTATTTGTCATTAAGCATTTACTATTTTGACATCTCTTTACCTAATTTGTTTTTGCGTATAATCTTTGATAATTTTTAATGCAAACAAACGCAATAAATCATATACTGTGGTTACCAGAATAGTAAGTTATGTAACAGGATTTTTTTTTTTTTACAATGACTCATAGTAGAAATAACGATAATTCAATAAAACTAATCAACCTTAACCACATAGTGTAGCAGGCGCTGTAACGAAATTTTTTACAGTGACCCATGATAATAATAATAATTTCAATACAATATTAATTACTATGCACCACATTAGTTTTTTACAGTATATAACTCATAATAGAAATTATGACACGTAGATCAATCTAATAATATAAAAATATCTCCAATCATGGAATCTTTTAACCGAAACGTGATATTTCGTGATCCTCACTGAGACGAATCTATTGATGCCAAAATTATCAAGATTGGATCACACGATCACTTAATTTTGTAAATTTATTTAGCCATTGGAAGCTACTAGACATTCCATCCAGTGGTAAAAAATTCACTCAATAAGCAATAATAACTGGAATTTGCTGCGCCATCTGGAAGCCCAGTAATTGTCACTAGAACCTTCCAATGAGCATCACTGCTTTATGTAGTAATAATCTTCGTGAAATATCGCAAATGAAATGGAAAGAGAATTAAATTTATTAGTTGCATTAATGAATCAATTCATTTGCAGGGATCAGATCATTGAAATCGGTTTGCAAGACGGACATTCTAATACGAAAAAGAGTATGTATATAGTTTAGGGATTTTAAAGGAAAACCATATACCCCAGTAGCTGATATTTATGCTTTGGGCATCATTATGACCGAAATATCGGCGGAAAAAAGGGTTTAATGGTTATAATTTTGATAATGAACTTATGAAAAAATTTGGGTTATTATATTAAATTAGCCAAGCGATGCATAGATTCAACCTCAAAAAATGATCTGCTTTTCGGTCTGTCAATGGAGGAATAGAAAACTTTGATGAAAACTAAACCTAACATCGAATCATCAAGACATCCGAATATCCATATCATTAAACCTATCGATATATGAGAAATATCGGATGAATTATCTGAACCATATAAAATTTTTGATGATTTTATGAAAGGGTATATTGTGAATTATATGGACTTTCAAAAAAGAAAAATGACTTCGAAAAGTTTTACGTAAGCTACGCTTACCTTAACATGAAAAGAATTATAAAGTCTAAAGGTGTTCAATGTAAAATTATGCATAATACTGAAAATTATTTTGGCGTCAACAGTTATCATTTATTCTATTACATGTCATCTTCAATCAATAAAACGATTTTTTACAGGGGGATCCCCAAATTTCCGGGTCGTCTATCCGGGTTGCTACAACTCAACTCACCCGACCCATCCGGGTGGCACACATCCGGGCCCAATCACTAAATGAAATTTTATTATAAATAAAGGATAAGTCCCGCTTATGCTATTACTAAACCTTACCCGGACTATTGTTGGTTACACGAAACCTGGATTTGTGGTAAATAGTTGATATAGATTACGAACTAACCGTTTATAGTTAGTGTTGGGAACTTTTAAAAACAACCGGCTTTACAGACATTACATCATTTCAAATTCTGCAATTCAAAAAAATTACTGATTTCCCGAACATCAATTTAAATGAATTTTGAGTGTTACAAGATCTGATATATAAATAATTTGTTGATCAGAAAAATTAGGCGGACAACTTGTTCCCGAATATACGATTGTACATTATTTATCCAAGAAAAAAAATGTTTAATGTGCTAAAAAATCATTCATCGATATCAAATAAGCTAATTATACGCAATAATGTTCACTTTACTTCAAGATTATCATTCAAATTGCCTAATTATTCGAGAGTTAATACCTTCTCAACGCATAATAATCCATTATGTGCTTCCGCTGTAGTATCGATTTCTGTATGTATTTTTTTTTCATATTATGGTAAATATTTATTAATAATTGTAGACCATATTTTAAGTTATCAATCCAATTCTTAGACTGACCCAGTATTACATCACGGGAAATTTTATTTCGACAACATATATCCTATCAAAATTGGTTCTTTTGATATACGACATCGTTTTGTTAGATCAAATAGATCTATATTAGAAGTAAAGATTAAGTCTGGAAAATGGATACCATCCGAAAGTACGATGCCTTATGAATTTAAAGTAGAAGGTATAGAACCCAGGTAAGATTTCTTCAAAATCATATATATATATCTTATTAATTTTTGGTTGATTTGTTAGGAAGAAAGAGGGTGGAATGTTTGTCAACTTTTCGTTTCGTGCCGATCCTAAACTTAAAGAATCTGCATTGGAAGAGATTGAAAATCACATTAAAGATCATTTAACTGAAAATAAATTGGTCCCATGGTTTAATTTTCAGCCGAATACGGCTTATCTTGTTGAGGTTCGTTTAATTATCTTTTTTTAGGGTTTACTGTTTTATGTGATTTTTTAATTTTATATAATAGTATTTTAAATATTAGCTTTATTTGCTTTTCGACAGGGTGAACCTTTTATTGAGGATTTGGTTCAGAGATATCCAGCAAGGTTTGTTTGTTAATCTTTTTCATATAGTTTGTGAATCTTAATTTAGATGATTTCAATAATTTCAATATTATAGCCGCCTGCGTGTCGAATTTAAGGGGCCTGATATCTCAATAGTATGTTCTTTTTATATTATTCGAAAGCACAACAGTGAATAAAGTATTCGGAATTTTTTCCATTAGTTTTAATAAATTACATTTTACAATTCAAATGAACAATCACAAGTTATAGGTTAATATAATATCTAAGCCATTTCACAAAAATATGATTTATTGATATGATGAATACTTTATTTTTAACTGTACTTAAAGAAAAATGCATATTTTAATTCGTATGTATATGTTTTAAGGAATCTCTATTCTACACATTTCGAAAATATGGTTTAATTCGTGACATAACTTTACAAGAATCAGCCAAAGAACCCCCACGATATGCAATGATAATATATTCAAGTATGAGATCAGCTGCTAGTGCTAGGAATTGTGTTCATGGAAGATTAATTAATAGCACGAGGTTGAATATTTTTTATGATCAGCCTCTTGTAAGTAATCTAATAATTTACATATTTTTATTCCACATAATCTTTAATAAAATCTTTGATAGTTTCACTAATTAAAAACTTTTTTTTTCTCGCTAGAAATCAAATCTTATATACAATTGGATGGTCGCACATCCAAGAATTTCTGTAGGCCTTTGACAACATTCAATTTTATTTCAAGTATATGATCTTAATAATTTAGTTTATGCTATTTTTTAATGTTTATTTTTCTTAGGTTCCCCTTATTGCTGCTATAATTGCTGGGGTTTCATATATTATGTAAGTTATAAACCATTTAATATTCATAATAAATTTCATATTAAAATTATTATTTACATATTTTTATATCATCTTACAGCTTCGATCCTATCCGAATTTTCTTTATCAAATCTAAAATTACACAACGGTTTAACCTACAAGAATATCGTATATATCAATGGCTTAAAAGACAGGCAATTGAACGTATTTTATATTGGAATAAATCAAGTTATGATCCATTGGCTGACATAAGTACTTGGAAAGAACGAGAACAAGAAGAACAAAAATTACGAAATTGGTTGAAAGAACCTCCAGGTTATCTTGTAATTTCATTTAAAAACGATTATTGATCAATTTAGTTTATGCTAATATGATTTTATACTAGAAACGCTTATTGTCTTATTGGGCCCAACTGGAACTGGTAAAAGTAGATTTGTCGATAAAGTAATTCAAGATAAAAAGTAAGCTTTTGATATTAGATGTTGTTAATTTATGTTTATACTTGCTGGCGAAAAGCTTGGACAAAATCAACCCCAAAACTATTGCTATTTATAAACAATTGAATCAAAAAAAAAATAATTTTTGAGACAAACTAACTTTATAATAGCTTTGAATTTTGTCAATAAGTATATTTATGTTAGCAAGATGTATATATTTAATTTACATTACTTCATTTATAATAGGAATAAAATAGTGATTAAATGTGATGAAATTTTAAATTCACACAATGAAAATGAGGTTATCTTGAAATTGGCGAAACAAGTAGGATATTTCCCTGTGTTTTCATTATTAATCTCTATGTCCAATCTTATCGATGGATTGGCAAGCGCGATGATTGGAAATAAAACACGTATGTTAAATATTATTATTTTTAAAATTCGTTAAATATATTTTTGATTTTCATAATAACTTTCATAATCACTTTTGTAATAATTTTATCTTTGTAGTTGGTTTTTCATCATCCGCCGATTCTGAAATAATAAAGATTCTTGATACGCTTGCGATCGCATTACATGATATTTCACCCGAATCTCTAACTAAAAAACGTCAAAGGAAATCAAATAAATTTGTTGAACCTCAATTTGTAGAATCTTATGACCCTGCTGATATTCCAATCGTGGTGATTGATTCGTTCATGACTAAAGATACAACTGAAAGGCAAGAAATCTGGAGTCATTTAGCCAAAGTAGCTGCCTTATTGGTTGATAATGGTGTTGCACATGTAATATTTGTAAGTTCTAATGTGGGAATTGTTAAGAGCTTGAGTAAAGGTAATGGATAATTTATACCATTTTGTAAATTTTATATCTTTAAACAATTTTATTTAATGTAAAAAATTTTTTTAATTCTTAAAGCATTTCCTAATAAGACATTCAACTATTGCAATCTTACCGATGCTCCTAATGAAAGAGCTGTGAATTTGGTTAAAACGAATGTTGAAGGTTACAATGTTGAAGAATTAGAAGAACATGTTAAACTTTTAGGTGGCAGAGTAACTGATCTTAGATTTTTTATAAATAAAATTCGTGGCGGACAAACACCTCAAGGTAAGCTTAATATTATTTTTAAATTTTTTTTTTTTTTATAAATGGGTAAATTGTATGACGCTAATTTATTATTTATTTGTTTAAGATGCCTTAATTGATTTAATAAAAAAGGCCAATATCGAGATTCGAAAAATTGGCTTTGGTGATGATACAGACGATGCAAAAACAATTCCTTGGAAAGGGATACAATTTTGGAAAGTAATGAAAGAATTGATTCAAAATGACTATGTATGCAATTTTTCTCTATTCAAGGATGTACTTTTTATATCATCTTTATTTGTATAATATATAATAGACTTAATTCTTTTTTAAAAAATACACGTATGTTAAGGTATCATACGATGCAATCAAATTTTCGCCATTCTTTAATGGAGACGATACATCAATTAGAGCTATGGAAGAAGCAGAGTTGATAACTATTTTACAGCTTAGTGGTATGTAAATTTGTTGGTTTTTTATGACATAAAAGGTTTCAACATTTCTAATTTGGGTTTCTGAAAGGTCGACCGGATCAGATTCAACCTGGAAAACCACTTTATAAAGCTGCGTTTAACCAAATAATATCCGACTCCTTGTTTGCTGCTACAATGGAATTGCAAACTGCCCAATTTATGTTATCACTTGAAACTGGCAAAATAAATAAATGTGAAGAAGAATTAGAGAAATTAGGACATTTATTTGTTAAACAAGAAGGAAAATGGTTATTAGGTGGCGGACATGTTCCAGCCTCTGTAGAAGAGAGAGTGAAATTTTTATTGGCGAGGATGCAGAGATTTCATGCGAGTGCTGAGAAGTGGCAAACAGAAGTTGACAGACTTAAAAAAGTTGTTGCAAGTGGTAGTGCATAATTTGTATTACTGAAAAAGGAATTTTGGATACTTATTATACTAACATGAGTTAATTATTGAACGAAGTGTTTAATAATAAAAGCTCTGAAAATTGTACTTACAAATTCATATTTTATATTGTAAGAGCTTATTATACATTTCCCGTAATTTCTTAAAGAAAAATATAATTCTTAAGTATTCAAATTTTGTTAATGTGCAAATCTTTTATTAATGTCGAACATATTAATTAGCATTAAGTGTTTATTTAATAGATAATAAAATATTATTATCGGCGTAAATATTTTTATTCAATATGTACTTTTTATTAAATAACAATATTATAGTCAATTAAATTCATGGTGTGTGGAGTTATAAATTGCAATTTAGAGCACCGCATATGATTAATTAACCGGTTTTTTGAAGTTAATGTACAGTAGGTGGTAAATCACCATAAGTAGGTGTAATTTAGTAAAGTGATTTATTTGTGCTAATGCTAATTATTTATCTTATATTATTAAATATTGATTAAACATAAGTTATTTATTTATAACTTATACTAATTTATGAGCATTATATGACTTTTGCTACTCTACGTATTTTTTTTTTTATAAAAAATTTTTAGTAATATCCATTTTTATAACAGTATAGATAATATTGTCGCTTCTAATATTAAAGATCTTGGGAATATATATATAATAATTTTGAATGATAAAAATAAATATATTATATTTTAAATAATTTTTTTTAAGAAAATAATTAGAATTCACCTTAGGTGATTATCACTTGTAATTTACAATACATAAAAAAAAATAATTAATTTTTATCAAAACAAAAATTAACTTTTTTAAGATTAGAGATTAGAGATTAAAGTATAGCTTTATATATAGTAAAATTTAGTAAGAAATTTTTTTTTGTTAGAGCTTAAAAGGTAGTTTTATAAACAAAATTTTGAGATATAAGTATTTTTTAAATTTTAATTGGCAAATTAATTATAGATGATAATCATCTGAAATATAAATTAGCATTTTTTTTTTTTTTTTTTGTGTTAAGATAATCTCTTTGGCTAGAGACTTTTTATTAAATAATAACTTATTACAATTATAATGAAAGTACAACTAGCCACTATGTTTTTGGTACTAACTACACTAGATATTTGTACCTGCAAACCAAACTAAATTATCTATTTAAACTTTCTAATCAAAAAAAGCATAGTGAAAATTTATTTTGATTGGTTGAGGTGAAGATTCTTTTTTTATATTGTCAATTGTAATTTTTAAAGTACTTTTAATAAGTAAAGATCAAAAAAAAAATTATTAACTCTTTTCAACAATCACTTAGTTCAAATTCTCATGGAAGAAAAATACAAATTTTGTTAAAAAGTTGTGGCTTAACATAGTAGTTTTTCTAGAGATCAACATACTACTTATGGAACTCCTCTACTGGTGACATTTAGCATGCAAGCCAAGAGCATTATTATACAAGATAGCTGGCAGGAAGTGCCCTTGTATAAAAATCTTGGTAGAGAAGAGGACTCTTTAGATACCTCTCTTTCTTTGTTAATAAAATTCTTAGGCAGTACTTCTTTGAAGACATTGGGAAACAACAAAATATCCTGTTGCACTTTTTACCTAGTCAAGTAGTTTCTTTTTACTTTCTTTTATCCTTCTGTTGGTCTTTCAAAAAATTTTGACAAAAAGTGAGAATTTGGCTTACCTCCTTTAAAAGATTGGTATTGTTTACTTCCCAAATTTGAACAGATTAGCAAAATGCAACCATATGTTTGTTTACAAACGAATATAGCATTTTTTTACAAGACTCAGCCTAGGAACTCTAATTATAGCAGCAGGTGGCTTAAGACACAGGTTCTTGAATAATGGTAGCACCTGGCTTGAAATATAGATTAGACCAGACAATAAAGCAATTTGAAGTTGGCGAGAAGGTCAGAAAGGTTAAAGCAAAGCTTTACAAAGAGATATACAAATTTGCATTTGGTATATAATTTTTATCAGCCACATACAGGTTATAATAGTGTCTTCAGGGTTTTAAATTTCTTTTATGTTTTTTCTTTTTTGCTTTTTCTTTTTTTTTTGGTTGTTTTCATAATTCTTTGTTAGAAAATTTTCTCTTTTTGTCTTGTGTCTCTTGAGAAGAAAGAAGAATTAGAAGGAGAAAAAGAGATCCTGACACAGTATACAACAACCTGTTAAATAATTGAGAGGTGTATTCTTTGTTAATACAAAATCTGAAGCAAGTTTCGAATCCTGTTGTAAAACTAATAGTTGTTATAGCAAGTTGTATTGGGCTTTGGCTTGGTAAGTTTCTATTAGAATAAAGCGATACACTATTCTAGATTGTTATTTGTATAATAATCTTATAGTGTTCATAAAATAAATAGAAGCAGAATTGTTTAATATAAAAAAAAATAAGTAAAGATAGCCATGATATATAAAATTTTTTTTTTGTAATATATAATTACAATAACTTAACATATCATTTTTTTATTTTTAAATCTACTGTTTTTTTAGCAACTGATGCAATAGAATGCAAAAAACTAAGAAACTAAATTAAAGGTGAAGATTTTGAAAAGTCGAAAAGTGATTTGGCAGCCTAAGCAATTAGTAAGTAAAAGTAGCAAAATTTTGTAGTTTTACTTTATTTTCTGTAAATAAAAAGTACTACATATTTGAAACTAATATTCCAACTCTACTTTTTTATTATATTTAGATTATGAGTAGTTTATAAATACACATTTTATAGTAGTAGTATTTAGAAATATTTGTGTATATTATTTTATTTAGCAGATTGTGTTGCAAAACTTAAAAGTAAATAAATAGTATACTTATTGTGAAATGAATAATATTGTATATATTGTAAAATATGAATAATTATAAACCCAAATTAATGTTTTTATAACTATAATACATGCCTTTAGAAAGTATTGACTAATTTTTTGAAAAGCTTTATCAATAATAAAATTTTATTTAAGACATAGCCAATACTTTATTTGAAGATAATTTATATTTTTTTCAGGGTATTTTAACAACTAATTAAAATAAACTTCCACTATGCTACCAAAATATAACTTACTATTTATATGTAAATTTTGCAACATCTATAGATTTTGCACTCTATTTTAGAACCTACTTACTATTCTGGCTTTTTTATTTACAAGATAAACCTAATAAAGTAGTATATATATTTATATATATATTTAGTAATTTTTTTTTAGTATCTGTTATGCTACTATCACCATGTTTATATCTTAAGCTATCTTTTATAATGCTACTATAGTCAAACCTTTATAAATACAATATGTACAGACCAGCTTGAATCATGCATTTAGGAAGATTTGTATTTAGAGAAAGCCAATCAAACTGTAGCTTTTAATATTTGATCTGCAGGCTTGTATAACACAACTTTAATACTGAATTCTGATTGGCTATGTGCATTTTGTGAGATTAGTATGATATAGAAAATTTTTTAAATAAATATGCATTTGCAGAATATAAAACATGTATTTAGCACTAATGATTTCTTATAGCCAGGCCAGAAATGTGCATTTAAAGAGGTATTGCATTTATGGAGGTTGTATTTATAGAGGTTTGACTGTATATACAATCTGTATTTCAAACTACAATTTTCCTAATCAGTTGCTCATTACCTACTTCTGCTCTTGAAGAGTTTACAACTATTCATATTTAGTTTTTTTTTTTCTAAATTCTTCACTAGTTTCTTTTAACTTCTAGCTAATAACCTAGAAAAATCAATCTTGGCTTGGCTTTAGATGCATCTAGTCTGTCTTTTCTTGGTATATACTTTCAAAACATATATTTCTTTTCTTTAATATAATAAGCCTGATAGCTAGACTAGTATATTTTTTTACTTAAAAATCTAATTATAGTTCTCTAATTTTAGTCTTTGGTTTCGAATTTGGCTTTTCTATAGTACTGTTAAAAATCACTACTACCTTCTAACTTGAAACTTTCTAAATAGATTTTATATTAGAAGAATTAAATAAGTGCAAACTTTTGAAAAAGCAGATTTTTGCAAAATTTTTTGCAAAAAACTACAAAATTTTTTATATTTTGAAATTTTGTGCAAAACTATTATATAATTTCTGTAGCTAGTGAGTTTGAAGTTTATACAGATTTTCATTTAATTTATTATTTAATTTTTTTTGCAAATCTGCACAGAACAGTACTAAAAATTTTTTTCTAATGTAGTTATAGTAGTTTTTTGAATTTTTGTATCAAAGCTTCTATTTTAGATAGTATTATCAAAATTACAGATTTCTAGATTTAACTGATTATCAAATAGCTATTATTATATTACAAGCTTATTTTTCAAAATCATTATTTGTAAAATCCAACCTCTAGACCTGCTGTTTAGTAAAGGTGATAATTAGACTATTACACTTAAGGTCTGAAATTAAGTTAGGCTATCTAGGCCAGGCTAATCTAGTCTGCAAAAAGTTTTGGTTAGGCCTACATTAAAATAAAATAGATCAAGCTTGAGTTAAAACTAAGCCAGATTGAGCTTTATAAAAAAGTTTATAAGCTTTAAAAAACTATTAAATTAAATCATAGACTTAGCTCAGCCTAGGCCCAAATCTGATTAGATGTTTTGAGTTTGGGCTTAGTTTAAACTTGGTTTTGTGAAAACCTAGTCTAATTCAGTCTAACTTACCTAATATAAACCCTAACTATACTAAGTTGCTATATCTTTAAATTAGCAATTTTTTTTTTTAAACTTAATTAATTCTTTATATAAAATTATTATATAAATTTTTTAATATTCATAATAATTAATTTATTTATTCAATTTTGATAATTTAACTACCAAAATAATTCTAACAAGAGAATTTTAGCAAATTTAAAATTATTTATATAATTATAAGATTAGCAAAAATTAATTATATATATTTCTCTATTAGCTTGAAATTAGGTTATAATCAGAAAGTTTAAATAGATAATCTTGTAGTTTGAGTTATAAATATAGCAGACAGTATAGAACCTTCAAGC